AGCTGGGTCTGGAATGCAGACTTTCCTGTCCCTGGAGATGATGGGGGTGAGGGTGTCAAGGCCAGAGAAAAGTACAGAGGCAACGGGGTCTGCAGGGTGGACGGCAGACACAGCTGTCCAGAGGGTCCATTGGCCACTCAGTCATTCCTTCAACAAACAATCGAGTGCCCTTATGCTCCTGATACTGGTTGGGATGGGAAAATGACTGGAGCACAGGAAACCTGGGACAGAGCAATGAAAGGGGAGTCTAGAAGGACCATTCTGAAGGCATTTATGGGAGACCTTCAATAGAAATTCTTGAGACTCCATACTTAGGTGTCCCAACAGCTTTCTATTTTTTCCACTGAAATGATCATCACCATTTCTGCTAGTGATGTTCCCTGGGCTGGACAGCAGGGACGGTGAGACCATGGGAGGATTGTCAAGAGGGATTGGTGGTCCAGGTCCTCAGCAGGTGTTCAGGGACAATTGGAGTCTGTTTTCTGCATCTGTGAGCTGGGTCAGCGGTGATGTTCTCATTATCTTCTATTATTTGAGGAGCACCAAGATGATACGGACGACCTGAGGAGGGTCTGGACACCTGAATAAGGCTGTTGTATTGCAGACTCATCCGGGTGTCCAGTAGAAGACCCCGGATGACCCTGTGAACCCAACACCGCTTCTAATTAATCTGAGCAACCAGAACTAGCACCAGGATATGGTCTAGTTGAGGAGGACCAGGGTGGCGCAGAACAGAGACAGAGGAGCACAAGCTGAGGGGTTCCTCCCAAAGGGAGAACCTTCTTCTGGGCAAGAGGATGTTGCTGGACAGACTTAACACTTTCAACTCCCTTGTGTGCAGTCATGCTTCATTTTGGGTCTGGTGTTGGAGATTTTCAGAGGCATGATCCAAGTCACCAAAAGGCAAGGTGGTGGTGAGTGGGACCAGGTTAGTGGAGAAATCAAGGGAGACTCTTTTAAGGGAGTTTTAAAAAGGGAATTCAGGGACATTCCCCTGTCTTGAATTTAAGCCAGGGATGGCAAGTGGATTTATCTTACATTCTAGTTCTGACCGACTGGTGGTGGCTGCACAGTGTTGAGGATCCTGAAGTGACATTTAGCTCAGTGAGAAAGAGCTCTCTGCTCGACTAGGTTTGCCTACCTCAGACACAGAATTGGGAGTGACATCATGGATATGCCACTTCAATAGCAAAAGAGCCAGGTCTCCCATGTGGTTCTAATAGGAAATAAAACACAGAACAGTGAAATCATTCTGGAAACCAGAGTGTCGACAAAGTGTTTTGTTTTGTTTTATTCTCCAGGTGAAAATCAGGCCCAGAGAACACCCACCCCTCTGAGTTCAGGGTCACCATCTCTGGAGCCTTAAGGCACAGGCTGGGGAACACCTACCTGTCTTTCTTTCCGTGGCCCTTTTCAACCACGGTGCCCTTCACTGCTGACCTCAGGAACCTGGGAGAACGGGAGCCAGACAGCCATCCCTAGTTCCTCGGCTTACTTGCATGGAGCAGGCTTCTCTCTGGGCCATGCCATCTCCAGGAGCCTGAAGAAACTCAGGAATGAGGGTACCTGGTGCCTCTTGGAAGTCAGCCAGAGGCATCTGACACAGAAACAACCTGAAGAGGTTTTTAATGCTTTTATTCGAAAACCTAGAGTCAATTCCAGCTCCTCCATGTGAATCCCCAATGAGTTTATGACAGTTGCGAGGGCAGGGTTTATTTGGCCCTGACTTTTTACCATGCACTGATCTGGAGCTGATATAGATGGTCACTGCTTGGTCAATGGTCCATTGGTTTCTTCCAAAGCAAAAGCTCAGGGCCCCAGGCTGGGGTGAGGGGCAGAGAGCCTGTAGTCATGAAGGAAGGCGTCTCGAGGCCAGTGCACTGGCTGGAGGCCCACTTGACACAGAGCCTGCATGGCCAGGGTCCTGATTTCTCTCCAGTAAATTTACTCTTGCTGGTTGGGCAGATGCTGCCAGCCCCAACATGTAGTGGAATGAGACCCTGGTCAGATGACACCAGTCCTGGGAGAAAAGGAGCAAAGATAAGAACATTACCTTTTAAGGCTGTCATCTTGGATCTTAGGGTCAAACAACCCACTCAGAGAGTTCTTGTGACTACTCATGGAACAGCAATGGGCCAAGTCTCACCATGAAAACACATGTACATGGCTGAAGGGCGGGGGCGGGGGCCGTCTGGGGTTATATGTAAATGTTTTTAAAAAGATATTATAGAAAGAATGTGTCTCCTTTCCTTGGATATGAAATTTTCCTGAAATTGAAAGTAGGCCACTGAGGTTTGGAGCATGCGTGTCAAGCAAAGAACAGATCAGCATTATTCCAGGAAGGTTCAAGGTACTGAGAGATGGGCAGGGATGCCCAGTTGGACTCAGAGACCTCAGAAAAGCCATTCACTGGCCGCTGGCCAGTGAATGGGAGCCCATCTCGACTGCCAAATGTCTTTCTTGAATTGTCTGTTGACTCTGGTTTCTCCATGTAAAAGATAAAAGTAAAATCCATCACAAAACAGAAAACTCACATACTGTTTATTGGGTTTTATGTTGTCCCCGGGTCACTCCTTGTACCTGAGAGGGAAATAAGGCAGGGGACAAATGGCAAAAAGTATTTTTCCTCCCTGAGAATGGAGGTGTTGGGTCCTCTATCCCTGGCAGGCACTTAGAAACGATCTCCACATGAGTCCTGCACCTGTACCCAAGGGACTCTTGAGACAGTCACTGTCCCACCACTGAGGAACTGCAGGGCTGCTTGGTCCTGTAATAGCCGTCATCTTGTTCTGTCTAAAGGGTGTTCTAGCTGCCTGGAAATGACCTGCCTGAAATCTTAGAGCTACTTGGTAAATTAAAATCTAGGTCTTGGTAGAAGGCCTTGATATTCTTGGGTCTTGTTTAGAATACAAAGCTGAACACCTTGAGCAAGGTTTGTTCAAAATGAGGCTCCAGACCAGATGCTGGGAGCCTCCTCCCCGTCCCTCGCTGGCCTCTTTCCTAAGGGATGCAGATGTCCAAGGCCCTTGAAGAGGAGAGCACTTTCAGAAAGAAAAGCTTCCAATTGGGTTGGGCACTGCTCTGAAAGGCCAAATCCAGGACGGTCGTGACTTGGCTCACTAGAAACTTCCTCCTTCCTCCTGAAGTCACTGATCACCGGGACAGTCACAGTGGCACAGTCTGACAGCTTGGGCAAGCATCCAGCCACTCTGGGATCTGTGAGGCTGGCATTAAAACTATTTTGTAGCTGAAGATTTAATGACATGGAAAAATAGTCCTGAACTATCAGACAGGAAGAGTGAGTTATAAAACGCCGTGTAAAGTACAATTGGAACGTGGGGAGACACATTAAGAACACTTGGAAGAATACTAACAAGTTCCTGTGGTGGCAGGTATTTTTATTTTGCACTTCCAGTTTATTTGGATTTTCCATCTTTTCTACAGTAAAAATATGTTGATCTTATTACAGAATTTTGAAAAGTTACCTTTACCTGTTAAAGGTGTGTGTGGGGCGGGTGGTGGCTGATATCTGAACACATCTTTAGTAAACATGACAATGTCCCTGCCCCGCCCTGCCCTGGACATTATCCAAATGCAATAACTCTTCACCAAGATGTTTAGTTATGCAAAATGTGTTACTACCCTTTTCCTTTTATTTCCAAAAAAAAAAAAAAAGGAGCAAAAAGCCAGAAGAACTGTGAATGTCAGTCCTTTAGTAAAAATTGGAAGCAGTTTATTTAAAGTCAGCTCCCAGGGCTGGTCCTGGAAGTTTTCTAGAATTCTCTGATGCAGACCCTCCTTGGGAGAGTTTGTAGTCATGGCTGCTGGGAGGCCATCTGTGGAGCTCTGTGGGAGGCCCTAGCAGTATGGGTGGGCAGTGTCCTGGGGCCTTCACCTAGCTGGGAACGGGACAGCAGTCAGGCAGGTGGAACTCACCCGGGTGGCATGGGGTGTCTACAGCAGGCACCCCTCGTCCTAGCTGAGAAATCAGGCAGGCATCCTGGGGGAGGAGATTTCTATACCTGGGGCTGCTGGGCAAAGACCTGATGAAGCCAAGACAAGGGGGAAGGAGGGAGAAGAGGGAGCTGGGCAGAGGGCACAGCCTGAGTAAGACCTAGAGGTGAGGACGAGATGGGATGTTCAGGAGGGTGTGAGATTTGAGGCTGGAGAAGGGGCAGGGTCAAAGATGGACTCTGTCTAAAGGGCAGGGGGAAGCCACTGAGGGCATTTGAGCAAAGGAGTCACCTGCTCAGATTTGTTTTTAGAAAATCCCTCAGGTTCTGTGATCTTTCAGAAGCGGGCAGTATGGAGGCCAGGAGTGGTGGCAGAAGCCTGTCCTCTAGGGCCGCAGGAGCTTATGGGAGGCTCTCACACTGAGGCTCTGAAGTTCAACAGGGAGGTGGGGAGGTGGTGCCCTTGGAGCAGGGAGTGGAGGCCTTGTTGGGAGTCCTCGCTTCCGTCACTCCATTGAAACAGAAGAGCTCACTGCACTTCTCTCGAGGGCTGTGGGATGGGAACAAGGGGAGGCGAACTGGCCACACCAGGGAAGTTCTGTGCCCACCTCAGTCGCTGAGGACTCAGCACACTGCCAGTCCACAGGTGACAGAAAAACAAATTCAGAAGGCCACAGCATTTTCACAATGAAGAGAGGAGTTTCATACTCACAACTGGCTGGGAAGGAAGCACAATGACCTGGCCCTCATGGGCTCGTCACAGCTTGGTCCCCGCGCAGGGCCTGCAGGGAGAGCTCATACCCAAGGAACATGGCGGCGCTCATGGGGAAGCCTCGCACAGCGTTCACAGTGATGCCTCTGAAAAACACCTTCGTACAGGAGGCCCAGTTAGTGCAGGACCTGACACACACCTTCTGCAGTGCCACCCCTGGGAGCCAGAGAAACAGCTGGTAGTGCTGCCCACCCTGGCCCCTGGCCCTGTGCAAGCAAAGACCACATGGGATGCCCCAGTCATGCCCCTGCCCTGACCCATGTCATGTCTGATGGAGCACCCTCCCCCTCCCCCGCCACTCTGATATACAGGCACTTAGGACCATAGGCAAACTACTGAGTCCCTAAGACACTGTGGAGTCCCTGCATACACTTGCTTGATTGTCCTCTCTCTCTCTCTCTCTCTCTCTCTCTCTCTCTCTCTCTGTCTCTCTCTCTCTCTCTCACACACACACACACACACACACATACGGGCTCAGGAATCTGGAAATCCTAAGTAGGCAGAACATCACCCATGCCACCACGGTGACAGGTGCTTCATTCATGTGACATCTCCAAAACTGCAAGTGAAAAACTCAGCTGTCCTTAAAACTGCAGATATGGAGTCAGGTCACCGCTTTCCCAATGAGTAGCTGGGTTACCTGGGCGAGTAGCAAACTCTCTGGAACTCAGCGTTCCCAACTGTAAAATGGAGCTGCTATTTGAGGGAATGAATGAGATGCTTCTGAAGTACTCACACAGCGCCTGACTCATGGTGAGCACCCAGCACTGCTGACTGCCACCCCCACCATTGTCATTATGGAAAACTGTCACCTAAAAGTGAGAAGAACTCAACCTCAAACGCTGGCTGAGGAGGCGTGGCCTGTCCTGAGGAGCCGCTAGACTCTGCCTCTGCGGCTCTGTCACCTGAATTTATCTCACATTCCTAGGGACATCATCAGATGCTTCCCTCCTTGAGTCTTCCTATGTGGTGCTGAGCGGGCTCTGGCAAATGTGGGCAGTTACAACCTATTGGAGAACATGAGCCCCATTTAGGAACAACATAAGCAGACAGTGATGAGCACAGATAAGGGCTTGGGCGAGTGGAGGTGTGGAAGGATCTGTCTTTTCATGTGTTCTGTGGGCAGAAACAACCACCCAATCCTCACTCAAGCATGAATGACCTGAGAACTGTCAGGCACAAGATTAAAACCTGCTCTGACAGGTTTAAAGAGGTCATTAAGCTTGAGAAACTGACATGGCATTTGAAGAAAGCAGTGACCAGCCCTTTGTGTTTCTCTAGTTCCCTCGGACCCTGGGCTGCTGTGTTAGGATGGGTGAAGGTCATTGTCATTGGCCAAGATGCCAGGTGATCTTGACAACCTAGGGATTCAGCTTGGTCAATAAAGGAGCCGATGGACCCAGGTCCCCAGAGGTGAGCAAGTTAAACCCTGGAGCCATTTGGGCAGGGTACAAGCTAGATCCTGGTAACATGAGCCCTCCTCTCCAATGTCTAACCTTTTTGGAATTCCACAAGCTCACCCAGAGTGACAGAATAACAGCAAGGAACTGGGTCAACCTCCAAGAGGAAAATTCCATGCTGGGTGCCCACAGAGGCTTCCCTGTGGGCCTTGGCTTGGCTCTGCTCTATGAAGCTGGGCCAGGCAGGCTCAGCTTTGGAGTGTGGGCCTCCTGCCCCACAGAGGGATCTCTTTCCAGGAGCTGTGACCTGCTCTGCCGTGAAGCCCACGGACGAGAACAATGAGCAGAGCTGCTGGCTTTACCCCACGTTTTTCAGAACATATAGTCCTGCCTGACCAAATTACTCCTCTTGAAGCCTCCATAGCTGCCCAATAGCCAAAATCAAGTCCATGCCATTCCCTGGCCTGCAACATCTCATGTGCCCTGGCCCTGCACTCTCTCTGGGCTGCCGCTCATCATATCTGACACTCGGAGCAGGCTGACCACCTGGGGTTCTTTGGAGGAGCCGGCTCCCTCTCACCACTAGGTCTCCTCTGGTCCCCTCTGCCAAAAATGCTCTAGAGACCTGGCTTGCAGCCTCTGGATATCCTCACATGGCTTCCCCAAGGTCCATTATGACCTGTCCCCTTCTGTGCGCTCAGCATCTCCCCTTTACAGCACTTCCCACACTGGTTTCCCACCACCCGTGTCCTGTCTGTCCCCCAAGGGGCAGTGAGTGCAGGGTTGTGGGTGTGGCTGATCTCTGAGTCCCCAGCACCTGCCAGCATAGACCTTCTATATCTGCTTATTAAATGAGCCAATGGAGGGATCAGTAAATGAAGAGATAAATGAATTCCCCCATGTGAAAAAGGAACAGTCTCTGAGCCGCAGGACTCCTGGTGCAGAGGCAGTGGGGGATTCCTGGAGTAGGAGGAGGGCTCCAGACCCCCAAGGGACAGAAGTACCAGGCAACTGAACCCTGGTGCCTCAGGAAGCTCGTCCACCTACAGCATTTCTATCAGTCTCTCATCCAACCCCATCCTGCTGTCAGTAGCCCCTTCAGCATGGCCACCTGTGTGGCACTGAAGGATATGGAGGTGCTCCTCCAGCCTCCTCTTTTCAGATGACAACTCTCCAAACAGGAGCCATGGCCCAGGTGGCCAGAGATGAGCCTTGAGGTGGGCAGAGAGTGGATTCCAGGGCACTAGGTATTCCTCCTGTTCTCACTCAAAAGCTTTCGAACAAGACCATGAACTTTTGGCTTCTCCACCCCGAAGGCCACTCCCCTGCCATCTTGAAGTGATTTACCAACAGCTACTCAAGTCCCGTTCTCCTGTCCCTTTCTTTCTGGTTCTTTGTCACCCCAAGTTGTTCTTCCACAGGAGACCAGAGCAGGTGAGAGGAAGATGGGCACAGGGCTTTGTGCCTGCCTCTGAGATACAGCAAAGAATGTTCCAAACACCGTGGTCCAGAGAGCAGAGCTCAGGCCCCTGGGGCTTCAGCCTCCCCCTGGCCCTCAGCAAAGGTGGCTCCTGCTGCTAGAAATGGCCTTTGAGGCAACCTGAGTGTCCAGGACTGTGGGTTTTTTCTCTTTTCACTGTATTATTGGAAATGTCCGTATATGCCCTCACACATAAATATGCAATCACATAAATATGTTTGTGCAGGCAGTCTTCTTGGAATATATCATGAAAAACTCTTAACAGCAATTGCTTTTGAAAGGACAGCGGCCGTAAGGGGGCCATTGAGACAGTCTGCCCCCTGTGCCTTTGGAACTTTCCTATGCTCACACATTATCTGTCTCTAATCCATTAATTAAAATTTAAAACTTAATCTTGAACCATCCGGCCGGGGCCGTGGTTAATCAAGCTGAGTACTCCTATGTCTATTTCAAACCCTGCTGTGAAGAAACACCACGGACCCCAATGGTACCAAGACTAAGACCCGATCGCCTGGCTCGGGGCCTTCTAGGACTCCACTTTTTATGGAGCCCGTAATTTAGGGAGGAAATAATATCAGCCGTACATTTAGCCTGTATAGATTGCTTGGAATTATGGCACATTAATATTTTGGGAAACAGACAAAAGCAGCACCCCACTTGAATATCTTTTGTGTTTCTCTGTAATTGTTGGTTGAATTACAAACTGTGCCTCTGCTAAAAGGAAAAAATACAAAAGAGAGAAAAAACAACAACAAAAAAAACTTGACCCTTTTGTCAGAGCAGCTCTTGTAAAAATAATAATAGTAACAATAAAAATAAAACAGAAAAGCTTCAAGTTTTCCCCAAACACAGATAGAAATAAAATTCCCTCTACATCACATCTTTTTATACCAGAGTCCCAGTCTCAGTGCCTGCCTTTCCTTCACGTGCTGTGAAGTTTTACTTCTGGTCTTCATTCTGAGCAGCATCCGTGTCCTAATCTATAGATAGTGACCAGAGGTGGACACAACATTCTGTCTGTGATTCACCTCCCTTACTCTACCCACTCTGCTTGTATTAATGAAGCCCTGGGACCTGCTTCCGTCATTGGCTCCCTGGCAGTTAGCTTCATCAGAGCATGGGCTGTGTTTCTTTATTTACTGTTCTAGGCCCGACTCCTAGAACTGAACTTGGCACATATTGGTTGTTCTAAAAGTAGGCATTTGTCAAATTAATAGTGAACACATAAAATAGAAAGCCCTCAGGCATTTTTCCCAAGATCCTCTGTCAAATCGGACTGCAGCCTCCTTTACAGAGGAGATTGATGATTTCATAGGAAGGGCTGGAAGTCACACTGACCCCTTGTAGTTCTGTCCTTTGGATTGGGCCCTTTGCTCTAGCTTCAGGGGATTTGGATCCTGCTCCCTTTCACACAGCATGCTAGCTAGCCTCCTGTGGGTCACCCAGAGCTCTGGACCTTTCTCCAAGTAGGGGAGGAAATAGCAGAAGAGGAGAAGGGCAGGTATAGAAAGTCTGCTGTCCACTGTGGTGCGTGAGAAGCGTCATGCAGGAGGACAGGAGAGGTGCAGTAGACTCTGGGGGCAGTCTCGTGCTGGGCCTGGAAGTATGGGGTGGAGCATCTGGCAGGGCTCAGGGTGAGGCAGCCATGGAGAAGACCCAGGCTCGGGGGCAAGTAACCCTGGCAATACTAAGGCCGATGACGAAGTCCACTCTTCCCTTTGGGTTCTGCAAGAAACTAGAGCACCTTTCACAAGCCCAGTTTAATTTAACCCATGAACACCCCAGTCCTTCATGGTAAGAAGAGTCCTTTAAAGTCACAGAAGTGCTCAAACTGAGGCACTGGTGCTTATCCAGGGAGGGTGACCCTAGCGTGTGGCCCCAAAGTTCTATTCCACATATTTGGAAAAGAAAAGGGATTTTGAAAAAAAACAAAAACCCTGTCCCTAATCCTTTTTGCAGCCCCCAGTCTGACCTTTCTGGGTGAGCAGCCTTTCTGCAAGTGTCTGTTCAGCTTCTCCAGGTTCAATGTAAATCTGGGGGAAGTTTGGATCCCCCAGCTCACAGATAACCAGGCCCAACCTTAAAATTGTCTGCTCACTCCAACAGCCAGGCCAAGAGAGCAAGGGGTCACTGTAGGGAGGGCCGGCACAGTGGTTTCTCTGGAGCGCGATACTCTCTTTATAATCTTGGACACCAGCTGTGAAGTCTGGTCTGTGCTCGGGGATAGATTGGTAGTCAGAAGGGGATAAGTTCTTTGGCTACAGAGAGAAGAATGGAGGAGACAAGGCCTGGGGAGCCGGGTCAGAGATGTCTCCACAGCAGAGACCAGAGGTGATGGGGTCTGGCCTTGGGTGGGGTGGGGAGCTGAAGATAATTCTGGGGGCCTAAAGCTGGTAAGGAGAGATGATCCAGGGGCAAGAAGGATATGAGGGGGCTCTGGAATCTCCCACTTAGAGGCAAAGGAAAGAAGGACCCATCCCATTTTGATGAGAAGCAAACTGGTGACAGATGCAGGTGCAAGCCCCAGCTCCACCACCAGCAGCCATGTGACCACAGCAGGTCACCAGTCTTCTGGGATCCTGTTCAGGTAGGAGGCATACCTCCCCCGTCCACCAGCCTGGGGTGAGAACTAGACAGACAGCACAGGCTGGGTGCTGGGTGTGGCATCTGCTCACGGTACTTGATAAATGGTACCTGACAGCACCTCTGGGGTCTCATGCCCCCCACATGTCTGAAGCATCTCCCAGGGACTGGCACAGGACTGGGACTTACTTTGAGGCCTTCTTGCTGGTAACTCTGGGAGATGCAGTCCAGGACGCCTTTGTATTTGTTTAAATAAACCCCATCAGCTTGGAGTCGGCTTTTCACAACATCCATAGGAGTCGCTGTCCCCCAGGAAATCGCTCCTGCAAAGAGAGAAAAGATCAGGTGTCAGGGCTGGCTGGCTGGCTGGCTGGGGTCTGGAGGGACCTGGCTCCCTGAGGATTTCCACCACAAAGAAGCTCCCTAAGCTGCTGAGGGACCTGGAAAGAGCTCAGGGCTGGGACCTGCAGAATCTGTTTCTGATCCTGCCCCGCCACTTGTTGTGGGACTCAGAGCCTGGGGCCCCTCATCTGTAAAGTAGAGCAGTGCCTATCTTCACGGAGCAAGGACCCAGTGAACTGATAAATATGAAGCCTTGACCATGGACTTGCCAGTCCACGGTCAGTGCTGGACAAATGGCAGCGTTTATTGTTATGATGGGTGAGACAGTGACAAGCTCCACAAGAATGTGGCAGCAGGAGGCAGTGCCCAGGGTGAGGCTGCTAAAGGTTTTCAACTCCCCCAGGGCAGGATTTACATTGAACCTGGAGAAGCTGAATAAACACTTGCAGATGGCTCCTCACCCAGAAGGGCCAAACTGGGGATTGCATAAAAGATTAGGGACAGGGCTTTTTGTTTGTTCCTGTTTTCCAAAATCCCTTTTCTTTTCCAAATATGTGGAATAGAACTTTGGGACCACATGCCACAGTCATCCTCACTGGATAAGCACCATGCCCCAGTTTGAGCACTTTTGTGACTTTAAAGGATTCTAGGAAAATAATGCCAGGTTATTGTGTAAACACAGAAATTGGCACATTCTCTGGTGGAAAGAGAAAATGCACCAATGTCAAAGTCCAGGGCAGTCGGTTTGCTAGGTTAAATAATTGCTGCTCAGCAGCTCCTAAAAGATATCTTCACTTATTCTGAACCTCTGCCGCTCCTGACCTTCAAGCCCCCTGTAAGCCTCTGGATCTCAACTCCTTCCAGCCTTCTGCCAGAATAATGGGATGCTTCCTCAGGGCTGCCCTGGTGCGCTCAGCCCACGACAAGGGCATCGTGAAATGAGGTCTGCTGCCAGGCTGCTTGCACCTGCTCTCAAATGAGAGCAGATGGAAACTTCTCATCCTCTGGGCCAACCAGTGTTCATGCACTTTTACCAGGAGCAGGGCAAGGGACGGCCTCAGATGCATGGGGGCACAGGGAGCACAGAATTGTTTGGTGGCAAAGACGTGGGCTGTATTATGTATTTGCTGAGTTCAAGCATAGCTAGTTAGGAGGAGGAGAAGGAGGAAGGAAGAGAAGAAGGAGGAAGGAGCAAAGATTTTCTTCTCTCTTGGGTCGGTGAGTCAGCATCGAATGTGTCAAGATATCTGTCTTCCTGAAAAGCAGTCTTCTCTCGACTTCCACGTGCTGCTCTGCCCACAGCCTACAGCTCCATTTCTCGATTCCTCATTAGAGCACAGCAAAATTTGTCAGAAGTATTGTATATACTTGGGTTCTCTAATTTCTTTCATCCCATTCTCTTTGAATCCCACTTAAATGAGGTTTTGGGGTGTTTTTGTTAGTGTTGTTTTGGTACCAGGGGTTGGACTCAGGGGTGCTTAACCACTGAGCCACATCCCCAGCCCTTTTTAAAATACATATGCATATTTTATTAGGGATAGAGTCTCACCGAGTTGCTTAGGGCCTCACTAAGTTGCTGAGGCTGGCTTTGAACTCAAGATCCTCCTGCCTCAGCCTCCTGAGCCTCTGGGATTACAGGCATGCACCACTGCTCCTAGCCTTAAATTAGGTTTTTAACACCCTTCTCTCCATTGAAATGACTCTCATCAAAGGGGGAGAACAGGGCTTGGTCAAGTTGCAGCAAAGAGATGAGTGTGACTGGAGAAGAGGAAGTAAAGGGAGAGGAAAAGTAGACAATAAGGTCCGAGGGGTAGCAGGAGCCAAATCAGAGAGGGCCTGGAAAACCACTGGAGGCTGTTGAGTGTTACCATAAATCAAATAGGGATATGGTGCAGGGTTCCGGGCAGGGAGGAGGTTAAGTGGCAAATCCACAGTCACAAAATGAGTTAGTGTGGATTTGAACTTGGGTTTTTCTGACTGCAGGGTCCCTGCTGTGAGACTCATCCCTGAACTAGCTGTATGACCTTGGGTGGGCTACTTAGTATATCTGACCCTGAGTTTTCTCATCTGTGACATGGGGAGGTTGATTCCCACCTTCTAGACACAGTGACTTCCTCACATCAGGAAGGTTGGCAGTGAGTCAGCACAAGAGAGCCATGAGAACAGATTTCCTGCCCGTGGCTCAGCAGTCCCTGACGTAGAGTGCAAGCTCAGAAAACGTTCTGTTGTCTGGGAGTCCGTGAACCCCCATGGGGACTTCCATTCTCACAGCTCCAGAGTGAAGGGGATAAGAGGATGAGGGGGCATCTGCCGTTCTGAGCTCTTTCTCCACCTTTCTAGGCCTGGCTCAGAGAAGTACTTAACCAAGAATTCCTGAATGTGTGGCTGGATGAGTCCCGCCTCCCTCATGGCTCAGAAGGTCATGGTAGGCTCCACCACTGTCCCCTGTTGCACTTCAATGGCTGGCCCAGGGACAGGGCTCTAGCTGCTGCTGCTCTTACCTGCCATGCCACCTGCCAGCCACACAGCACAGGGGCTGGGACCTGCGCAGGCCTCGGGTGTGATCCACTCACTCAGGAACACGTAGGGGATAAAGTAGAGACAATAGCCCGGGATGTCCCTCAGCAGCATGGCACTGGCCCCCCGGTACAGCCCAGCCAGGCCCTCAGTCCTCACGATGGTCGCGATGCAGTGCACCGGTCCCTGGTAGGCTGGCTGCTCCCCAAGAGCCGCTGCCCTGGACTTCACACTGAGGTTGGCTACAGAGACAGGGGAGAGAAGATGGCATGTGACCCAGGGGTGAGAAACTGGCCATCCCTGGTACTGGAGCCAGTGCAGCCCATGACAGTTCTACTCACGTGGCTTGGGGTTTTACCAAACCTTCCGGCCTTCTTGGCAGCTCACAAAAGAATTTGGAAAACCCAACAAGGAGCCCCTGCCAACCTGCACAGTTGGATTGGAGACAATTCCAGGCAGGTGATAAAGTGCAAGCTGCCTTAGGATTCCCAGGGCCTTCTGGTCAACTCTCACTGTGTCTTTCTAAGCAGATGTGACTGCAGAGTGCCTAGGATCAATGACAAGTAGACACACCAAACTCTTTCTTGAAGCAGAGCCTAGAGAATCTAATGTGCTATCTCTCTCTCTCTCTCTCTCTCTCTCTCTCTCTCTCTCTCTCTCTCTCTCTCTGTTGTGTGTGTGTCTATGTCTGGGTATTCATGTGTACTGATGCCCAATGTAGCACCAAAGTAAATGAGGTTTGGAGCCAGTATCCTGTCTGCAAATCCTAACTCCACCACTTACAAACTTTTGATCTGGACTGGTCAGCATTTTCAGCCTGTTTCCTTATCTTTAAAACAGGGAAAGACTGTTGTGAGTTAAATGAGATAAACATGTAAAGTACTGGGCCTGGTGGTTAGCAGATTGTCGGCTCCATAAGTGTCCAGAGATTGTGATAGTGACAGCGAGGCGTCTGGTGTGATCAGTTGCAGGACCCCATGGCTGCAGGGCTGGGCATGTTCACTCTGACTCACTCAGCTCTGGCCAGGCTGTGCCCTTAAACAGTTGTAGGGCAACATTGGAGCCCTTGGGCCTTCAAAGTCCATGGCTCCAGGGTAGTGGCTCCTTTTTGGCCTCTGTGCTGGCAGATGGTGGCTTATGCTGCTGGCTTCTTCTAAGGTTTATAGAGCCAGCAGAAAAATTTTTCCTTCCTACTTAGTCCTCCGGGTCACTTCTTACCTGCCTCCCTGGGGTTCATCTTGTTCCCTGCTTCAAACCTGTTAGCACAGCTTTGGCTCACGCCCAGGAGACCTTCCAGTCCTGAGAAGATAGAGTGACCTTTCTCAAGAAACTAACACAACATGAATGAAGTCTGCCCATGATCATGACACTACTTTGCTACCTGGGTTTAATTCCCTGTATACCATGTTCCAATCTGGTTTCGTACATGCCTCAGGATCAAACACTTGGCTACATGACTCCACAGTCCCAACTGCAGATTTGGGATTAAAGGACAACCTGGACTTTCCCAGAAGTCCTTGAGGTCAGAGGGAGGTTTTTATTTGCCTTCAAAGTGTGCTTGAACACAGTCAACCCAGATTTCCATCCGTGTGTGGAGAAGTGAGTGACTCCCTGACATCCACAAAATGTGGACAGGACACTGAGCCTCACTCACCTCCTCCACTGTGTGTCCCATAGGAGGTGATCAGGGGTAAAGTGTACTTGGGAGGGCACAAGTTTCTTTGAGCAAGATCAGACAATGTGGGCATTGAAAGCCCACTGAGAGGTCCTTGGACATCCCTTTCTTTCCCAAACCCTGATGATATTGCCTGGGCCATTCTGGGAAGTTTGCCCATGACACAGAATAGATGTCACTGTCCCACTCTATGAACTTTGGCCAGGCCACTTTCATCTCCAGGTAACACTGACCTGACCAGGAGTTACTGGTTGAAAGACGACAGCATGCAAATAACAATTGGCTTGTTTGGAGGCACAGATCCCGAAAAAACACTTGCCAAATCACCAACTGGCTTTGTAAACAAAAATCTGTATTCTATTCCTTTACTCTCCAGGGTAAACAATAAATTTTCTTATATTCTTCTAAGTTTGCAACATAAAAAATCTAGGATTTTCATTACAGATAGGTGTTCTAGAATGTCAAATAACTTTTTCTGTGCCAACTGACATAGTCAAATTTTTTTTTCTTCTTTTTAATGTGAAGATGATGAATTACAGATTGATTTTTTCAAATGTTAAATTGATCCTGCATTTACAGTACAAACTGCTTATGATATATTATCTTTTTCATAAATTAGGAATAAGAGAACTTTCTCAACCTGATAAAAGGTATCTGGAGAATTTGCAGCTCACATTAATACTCAAGCATGAAGACTGAATATTATATCTCCTAAGTTCTGGAGCAAAGTAGTGGTATCTATTCCTATCATTTGTATTCAACACTGAATCTGAGGTCCCAGTCAGTGCAGTAAGGGGGTTGAGGAGGGACGGAGCATACAAGTTGGAAAAAAAAGAAGCAAAACTGCTTCTATTTTCATCCTAAGGAACTTATAGAATAAAAGAACTACATAGCAGGCTTAGTAAGATTATATTAGTAGTTGATATAGAAAACTAACTGCATTTTATGTATTATTTTATGTATTAGGCCACCATTTAAATTTATAAAACAATGCTTTTTCTAATACCAAAAATCTGAAATATTTAGAAATTTAATAAAGTATTTGCAAGGCATTATGAAAACTGTAAAATATTAAGAGAATTAATGAAGGCCTTGAATAAATTGAGATATATACCATGTTCTTTGATTATTAAGAAACTAGTTTTCCTCATATCTATAGATTGAATGCACTTCCAATAAAAATCTAGCAATCTTTCTTATTAAAAAATCTAGGATTTATTGCTTGAGAATTACCCACTTATGATTATTAAAGCAACATAATTTTCATAGTGACTGCCCTAGTGATTATCATCATCAGGAGGCTGACACAGCTCTGCATTGACTCAAGTTTGTACTGTTGTGTCAGTTAGCTCTCCATCACTATAATAAAATGACTGAGGCAGTCGATTTATGGAGAGAAAAAGGTCATTACAGTTCATGGTTTGAGAGGTTCCTTTACTTGGTTGGTTGGCTCATTGTTTTGGGTCTTTGGCGAAACAGTACATTATGGTGGGAGTGCATGATAGAGGAAAACTGCCCACCTCATCAGCCAGGAAGCAAAAGGGAATAAGGAAGGGTTAGAGTCCCACTATTCCCTTTGAGGGCATGCCCCCCTGCAATGACCTAAGTATCTCCCTAGGCCCCACCTCTCAATAGCATCACTGTAGGGATCAAGCCTTTAACACATGGGCCCTTTGGGGGACACTCATCCAAGCCACGGCAACCATATGGCTTTAGAGCTCCTCTCAGCTCACTCATGCTCCCCAGGTGTGGGTAGGTGTGGCTTTCAGGAGTGACTGATTGAAGGACGGGTCGTGGTAAAATCCTCCTTGTTTGGAGACACAGATGTTGGAAAAACACATGTCCTGAACTTGCTTTGTCACCCAAACCCAACAAGGACAAAACATCCTTTTTTTCTTTCATTCTCAAGGTAAGCAATAAGGAAATTCTTTTGTATACACACACATATATTTTTCACACATATACACAGTTTTCCTTTGTAAACTATTTCAGGGTGAGTTACATACATGGCTCTTCACCCCTAAATACTTCCGAATGCATTTCTTGAGACTAGGGATACCGTCTTATGCAACCATAGCAGAGTTGTCAGCTTAAAACATCTAAATTGATAATAGTTAAATCTACTCTCTAATAATGTTTTCCTTTATAGCATTTTCTCCCTTGATCTGAAACATTTTCATGGTCTTTATTCTTTAATGCCACTGACGGTTTTTAAGAGGATACCACTTTACTTCCTTAAAAGAGCATTTCCTTATGAGCATATTGAAGTATACTAACCTTGGCTAGGTCTCTTTCCTATTCATAAGGCTTATCTTTTTTTCCATGAAGAGCAATCATTCTCCTGAGCTTGTGACCTTCTATCCTTGTTTTATTTGTTTGCTTTTAGTGTTATTCATTCATTCATTGGGTTGGGGATCAACCCCAGGGCCTTGTGTATGCTAGACAAGCATTCTACCATTGAGCCACACCCCCAACCCACAGTTTTTCAGTTGAGGTCTAATTTGTATTCAGTAAAAGATGTAGCTCTTGAGTGTGTGGTTGCTGAGTTCTGATGAGTCCTGACAGCTGTGTGCACATGTATGACCACACCTGACCCGAAAATCACTTCCTACACTTGAAACAAACTATTTTGGTCACAGCTCACTTAGTAACAGCTAAGATTCCACAGCCGATCACCCTCTCCTGATTCTCAGGGTGAAAGAACTCTGTGATACTCAGGAGCTGACACTCACCCAGAAGAAAATCTCTGAAGAGGCAGTTTTTACTGTCCATCTACACTGGCAATAGTGGTGAATGACTCATAGTGAGATCTCAAATCACAACTTCATCAAAGTTAGTCATCATTATTTTATGTCCAAATAAAAATGCATGGCTTGGCTGGGGCTGTAGCTCAGTGGTAGAGCACTTGCCTAGCACGTGTGGGGCACTGGGTTCAATCCTTAGCACCACATAAAAGTAAACAAATAAAATAAAGCATGCTGTCCATCTACAACTAAAAAAATTTTTTTTAAATGCATTGCAACCATACCATTGGTTAGGTTCAAGGTCACAAACTAAAATAATAATGAATTTACACTAATTCTTCTTTTTAATTCAGTAGCAATAGTTGGAGCAATAAATATCCTTGACCAGGTCAAGCTATCACTTCTGATAAATGAACAAGAGAGTCTTCTTCTAGAAAGCAGCAGTATTTCCCAGGTGCTCCATGGTCTGGAAGGTATGGCCCAGGACCCTTGGCAGGTAACCACAGGAAAGGGCTGAATCAGAGATTTGCTAACTCAATTAAAATAAAATTGTGGACCAATTTTAGTTTGGAAAATTTTTAGAAGGTAGCTCTTGGAAATTTGCACAACGAAAGTCTCTAGACTTGCATGTCAGTTGTCCAAGGATCCTGGGGAAGGTCATAGGATGCTAGAAGCTCACGTGGACCACTGTCTCCAACCTCTTCCTCAGGGCTTGGTTTCAGGGCACATGTGTGTGTGAAAGGACTGACATAAAATTTATCTTCTTCTAAAGTAAAGGTACTTCATTCCTCTATCTATAAATTTTTATTCTGTAATGATGGAAATATAAATCAAATTTTGGTCATATCTCATGAGTGCTTTGCCATTGAGACCATTTTTTATAGCCTTCCTTAAATCAAAGGCATATTATCTTTTTATGTGATAGGAATGAATTATATACCTCAAAAACTCAGGAGGCCTGGGATTCTTTTCTTTTCCCAAATTCAACTAGGGCTAGCTTACAGCCAACACCAAAACTGGCAGGACGGTTAAGGTCAGTGGAATTGGCTCCCACCTGCTCCTCACCTCCACAAGGAGTGAAGGAGCCCACACGGTGCTAAAAGAAGCCCTCTGCAGGCCCCTGCCTCATCGGCTCGTCCCTGCCATTGCTCCTTTGACCACATGTCATGGCCATCTGGCTTCATTGCTCACTGGCCTGGCTGGGCCAGAAGGTCCCTGGAGGCATGTACCCCTATAGGTAACTTTGCCTTTGGGGGGCGGGGGGGATCCGACTTTGATGCTGCTGTGTTCTGAGCATATGTATTTTTTTACCCTTCCTGGGGCAGCAAACTTCCTGGTGATACAGAGACCCAGGGCCTGAGTCCCTATGTACCTTGGCATTGTTTCCCAGGAGCATCTGTTCTGGGTGGGTTCCAGCACTGAGGCCTCCCTCCCAAAGCATTGCACGCTTAGTATTTAGCAAAGGTCGGCCCTATCTGATGCTTGGACCAGAGGCTTGAGATACTAAAAGGAACTCCAAAGTCATGGTCCCACCTACAGCACTGGTCTAAGAGGCTACGGGGGCATCCAGTGATGTGGTGGCGTGGACTCCAGCACAAAGCTGGCCATCATCACCTCCTTGGTTTGGGTTTGGTTTGGATTTTTGAGCAGCCCAGTGTATGGAGAGCAGTGATTTGGATCATGGTCTCTGATTGCCTCGTGGCTGCATTGCACTGGGAACTTCCTGTGCAAAGGTGAAGGTCAAGATGACCCAGCTGCTCTGGTGATGCTGGCCCGAGGAGGCTCCAGGCAAAGCAGCAGAGCTGTATCAGTCGGGACCTTGAGCTCAGGCATCAACCATCAGGGATTGAGAATTCTGAGCCTAACAAGATGACCCTAAT